TGTGTGTGTGTGTGTGACCTGTGTGTTGGGCAGGTCGTGGCAGCGGTTGGCGTGTCCGTGGCAAAAGCAGGATCCGATCACCCGCATCTCTCGCAGGGCGTAAAACTGGTTCAGACTGCGGCCCGGCATGCTGGGAACCGACCCCAGCTGGGTCAGATTGACCCGCAGACCCGTGAACCCAGACGCCACTGAGGGACAGAGCAGCCGTCAATCATCCGCACACTTCGTTAATACTTCGATCATCTGAGAAAGTCCAAATAACTCACCTTCGATTTTGTATTCGTTCGGCAGATCGATGTCCGCGAGCTGACGCAGAGGATAAAAGTAAATCTGAGAAGAGAAAAGAAACGTCAACTTGAGCGAACACATTTAGGTTATAAAAACGTTGTCATTAAAATGTTCTTTTCGTGGTTATAACGTTATTTAAATGTTTCTTACAATGTTCTACTAACATTCCTTTTAACAGAAAATCTGAACGTTTATCTTGAACATTCTAAAACGTTGAAATGTTCAGATTGGCTGTCGTGATAACGTTATTTAAAGGTTACAAAAACAACATTCTCCTAACTTAATTTTACTAAAAAATAACGTTATTGGAACCTTTATTTTTAATATATTAAAAATTTATAATTTTCTTGTCATGATTAGAACATTATTTAAAGGTTAAAACAGCTGTTTTTAAAAAAATATTCATCCAATTTTATTTTTATCTAAAACATAACATTATTTGAACGTTTTTTTTTTTTTATTAAAATTTTTTTTTTTAAATGCCCAGTTTTCTTTACATGATTAGAACGTTATTTAAAGGTTCCTAAAACATTTCTTACAATGTTCTACTAATTATGCTTTCACCCATAATATAACCTTATTTGACCGTTTATTGTTAATATTCCAAGAAAGTTAAGATGTTTAATGTATGTTTAAACGTTATTTAAATGTTCCCTACAACATTCTAGTAACTTTATTTCCACCCACAATATAACGTTATGTGAACACTTATTTTTAATATTCTACAAACGTTAAAATGTCCAGTTTTCTTGTTGTGATTAAACATTATTTAAAGGTTACATAACATGTTCTACTAACTTTATTTTCACCCATAATATAGTGTTATTTGAACATATATTTTAATATTCTAGGAGCGTTAAAAATTCCAGTTTACGCTTTCACAAAATGTTATGAGAGCATTCATCCTCTATAAATAACGTCATAAGGATGTTCCAAAAAAATTTTTCTATGAACATTTTCTTAACGTTATGAGAACGTATATCAAATATTAATGCAGTTGTAAGAATGTTCCATAAACATTACTTTAAGAACATTTTGTCTTAACATTTATACAACTTTTAAAAAAACGTAAGTGAAAGGCAGACTGTCTTACCTTCTGGTCCCTGTAGGGGTCGTCGGCGGTGGATGGCAGCGTGTAGCAGTACGTTTCCTCGAGGGGGCGAGGGAACGAAGTGCTCACCTGAGGAAAGGTGGATGGGCAGTTGGTGGCCATGTACAGGACGGGCTGCCAAGAGCGACCGAAATCCCTCGTCCTCTCGACGATCAGCGCGTCAGGCCTCGGGCCCTACGGGACGACCGATGAGGCGTTAGAAAACAGTGCTTCATAAATTAAAGACAGAGAGATGGATATCAGATACCTTAAAAGAGAGTAAGACGGTTTCCAGGTGATACATTCCATTTAAATCCAGCTGCAGCGCCACGGGACTCACATCTGGAATAAACACACAATCACTGTAAAATTGCTTTGCATAATCCTTAAATGGTTTACATGTTATTTATTTTTATATGAATAAATATGAAGTATTTAGTTAAAGTAAAAGTATGTACTGAATATGTTCTAAACAATACAGTTTGGTACTGTGATCTGAATCAAAAGATTCGCGAACCTACTTCGAAGCTCCGATCTAGAAAATTTGCGATACGCGCTCCGGAGTTCCGACCTGAATAATGATTCGCGAAGTATTAGAGTCCCAGTCTGAATCAAAACATTCACGAAGCCGCTTAGTTCTGAATCAAATGATTCGCGAACCCGCTCCGAAGTTCTGATCTAAATAAAATGATTTGATTGCGAACTAGTCCCGATCTGAATCAAAAGATTCATGAACCCGCTTAGTTTCGATCTGAATTAAAATGATTCGCGATACGCACTCTGGAGTTCCGATCTGAATAATGATTCGCAAAGTTTTAGAGTCCCAATTAGAATCAAAAGATTCACAAACCTGCTTAGTTCCGTTCCAAATCAGATACGTGAACCTGCTCTGGAGCTCCGATCTAAATCAAATGATTTGATCGCGAACTAGTCCCGATCTGAATCAGAGGATTAACGAACCCGCTTGTTTGCGATCTGAATGAAATGATTCGCGAACCTGCTCCAAAGTTCCAATCTAAATAACAATTTGATCGTGAACTAGAGTCCCGATCTGAATGAAAAGATTCACCTGCTTAGTTCCGATCTGTATGAAAAGATTGGCGAACCCGCTCCGAAGTTCCGATCTAAATCAAATCATTCAAGATTCACAGTCCAGACTTCCGATCTGAATAATGATTTTCAAAATAGAGTCAAAAAATTCACGAACCTGCTTAGTTCCGTTCTGAATCAAATACGTGAACCTGCTCTGGAGTTCCAATCTAAATCAAATGATTCGATTACGAACTAGTCCCGATCTGAATCAAAAAATTTACGAACCCGCTTAGTTCCGATCTGAATTAAAATTATTCTCGAACCCACTCCAATGTTCCAATCTAAATAACAATTCAGTTGTGAACTAGAGTCCCGAAGTTCCGATCTAAATCAAATGATTCGATTACGAACTAGTCCCGATCTGAATCAAAAAATTTACGAACCCGCTTAGTTCCGATCTGAATTAAAATTATTCTCGAACCCACTCCAATGTTCCAATCTAAATAACAATTCAGTTGTGAACTAGAGTCCCGAAGTTCCGATCTAAATCAAATGATTCGATTACGAACTAGTCCCGATCTGAATCAAAAAATTAACGAACCCGCTTAGTTCCGATCTAAATAACAATTCAGTTGTGAACTAGAGTCCCGAAGTTCCGATCTATATCAAATTATTTGTGATTTGCAATTCACAGTCCGGAATTCCAATCTGAATAATGATTTGCGAAATAGTCACACGAAAGATTCACAAACCTGCTTCCCATCTGAATCAAATAATTCGCAATACACGCTCAGAATTCCCGATCTGAATCAAATGATTTGCGATCCGACTGGAACGCTTCAAAACAGCGAATCATTTTGAGACGCAGCGGTTTAACTGATTCAGAGTTTCGAAAAGCTCCGTTACAAGCCATGTCGAAATTCGAAAATGAATGGTTCTTTTGATCTGTTCTTTTGCTAGAGAATTGCTTGAACTGAATGATCGAAGTCATGAGTTTGAATCACCCGGAGTTGATCCAGAGTAAATGACTCACTTAATTGAATCGATTTTTCTGTTCTTCTGTTTTCGTGCATTATTCGTCCATGTTTACACGACACTGTCTGAACTACTACTGGCTTATAGCTTAATAGTGTATTCTATTGTTGTAATTTATGTTTAATGTAATGTTTTGATGCCTTACCTTTCTTAGACTGCCACCATCGGTTGGGCCCGGCGCTGGAGATCACGTTCTGGATCGTGTGCGCATTATAGGCCGCCGGGTTCCGAGAGTCACACGGACAGCACTTCATCTTCCACTGAGACATGGAGAGTGTGATTTAGACATTTAACCAGCTTACCCAACTGTGTTTTAGTTGCTTATAAGATTTAAATTAGTTCTCAGTGTCATGTGTGAACTTAGTCTCAGGTGTTTCTCGCATAAACGAATCAGTACTGTAAAAGTAGCTTAGAAAAACGTTGTTTCTAAAATGTTAAAATGTTGTGATTATTTTTTGCTGTGATTATAACATTTAAAGTTTACAAAATGTTTTTGACAGCATCCTACTAACTTTATTTTCACCCAAAATATAACACTATTTGAATGTTTATTTTTTTAAATACTCTACAAACGTTAAAATGTCCAGTTCTTGTCGTGATTAGAATGTGTTTTAAAGGGTACAAAACGTTTCTTGCAAAATTCTGCTAACTTTATTTTCACCTGAAATTGTTATTTGAATGTTTATTTTTAATATTCCAAGAGCGCTGAAATGTCCAGTTTTCTTGTCATGAATATAATGTTATTTAAAGGTTACAAAAATGTTTCTTGCAATGTTCTACTAAGTTTATTTTACCCAAAATGTAATATTATTTAAATGTTTATTTT